AGGCGGTACTGTTCACAGAGAAACAATTTCAAAGGGACATTGAGTATATTGCTCATTTTGTACTAACCCATAGTTGTTTTGAAATGATACGTATTCATAAAAACACTCAGTTCAGAGTAATTCACAAAGACTCTACAACAATAAACTTGATAATGAAATAAAAAAAGGAATAGTTATAGTTTGTCCTTCTGTAGTTTGCTATGTAGCTATTTGTATTGCTGTATTACTTGCGAACTACTAAATTTAATATATAATTTGTTGTAAAGTAATTTTATTATTTTGTGATACACGACGACAACTTTTCACTCGATCACATTTATAACCTTAGTTCTTAGTAAAATTTACATTTACATGAATTCTTCATTTATAAATCAATAGGTAAGGTTACTAAACAATTTATTATTCAACCATTCTTTAAACGTAATAATCAATTTGTTTAAACGAAATAATTAATTCGTTTGAACGAAATAATCAATCTGTATATATGTAGGCCTATTCAATGATGAGATTTTGGTCGAAATAACCGTCAGATGGACGGTTTGAGAGTAATTGCCCTTGCGACTTAGTAAAAGGTGTGAAATTCAATGTATCCATTAACCACAATAATTGGTCAACGAAAGACGAATTTATTGTGAGCGTATGTGAACAAATTTCCATACGTTTCCGCCGTCTTTTTCCGTATGCAAATCAAATCGTCATTATGCCATATAAGGTATATGTCCGCTAATGTAGTATCTATTGAACAGCTAAATAATGCAAAGTGGATATGTACCCGGTATACTTCTTTATTTCCTCCAATTTTGAAGAATTCAATAGAAATAGATGTTATACAATAAAATAGAAAATACGAAAAATAAATATACAAATAGAGTATATATATCTGAATACGACAGAAATAAATAATACTAATATGATAAATATACTATCAAATAAATATACTAATGAAAGTTGAAGTCAGGTTTAAGTTTCTGTTTCCAAAAAACGGCATGAATATATTCAACAATACACTTATGCAATCTTGTATTTTTGTCAGGAATACTAAATATTAAGGGACTTAAGCTAAAATGTAACACACAAGAATTCATATTTTGATAACGACTTAAGATAAGCGATTTGATTACCGTTAAAGAAAGATTCTAAATTGCGCCAAAATTTAAAAATTTCAAATGTCTAGAGGCTTTGTCAGAATACTCAATTAAAGCATGTATTACAGCACAAGAGTAAAATAATCCACATTTATCACAAAGATGGTGTGGACTGCCAGCATTTGAGGACCTAGCTAGTGTGAATACTTGAGTTAAAAGTAAGCATGAAGGATCCTTTAGCCATATATCGAACACAGGGTGATATGACACCCAGAAACAAAAATCAGGGTCAGTACAAATCTTTTTCTTGCGAGATGCAAATTCGTGTGGCATTTCATTGGATGTTGGGAATTCAAATACATATACATTTTAACATTTTGACATTGGTGCTTTACAACAATGACATAAGCATTTTGTAATGACGACATTGGTAGTTTAAGGCTTCGAAACATTGAACAATTTTGGCAACGTTATACCGCTACATTTTTCTATGAAACCTGGTATGGTCATTGCAATTGATATGTTCTATGACGTTTCGAATTTATCGATTTTTTAAAAAACGGTTCTGGACCATGTCCTCCGTAAAAATGCATCAAAGTCTGATCATAATCACAATTGATTTTGATGAAAATTGGTCTTTAACTTATAGTTTGTTTTTAGGTATCTGGATAATCTTGTATGAAGAATTTGAATTATTGCATACAGATTTGACAAATAGTGTGATTCTTTTCCTTTCTTAACCGTCGTACTTTGATTGCTTTGATAGCTTTCTACTTCTGAAGAATTCTAGTGAAGAGTTATTTATACGCATACTTTTTCTCGATCCTTTGATGAAAAGTGTAGGTTATTTGCCGATACACCTTTTTATAATACACCTACACTTTTTGAAAAGCCCAGGTTTACAAAAAAGGTGGGAGGGGAATACATAACAAAAGTTAATTTATAGTTTTATTTCCAATTTTTGACCCTTGTAGGTGAAGGTAATGGTTATCTGCACTCTCTTCACTTTCCAATGTCTTCGAGGTTGGGTTGTTGGTGCATTCATATCAGGATTAATACATTGGTAGTCAGTTTGTGGCATCATTTAAAGTTTCAGCCTTGGTGATAGTTGACGAAACACATTTCTTTTGAGCTGATGGCTGAAGCATATCTGATACTTCAGTTCAGAGTTGGTTCTTATATACACCCTTACCGCTGTGCTTCGCTCCATTACCAATTGCTCGTCTACCTTTCTGTTAAAAAGTGTCGTGGCTGTAGTAACCTGAAAGGAATGAACTACAAGGCTACATACTGGTAAATAGATTTATTTCATGTTCCTATTGATGTTAGCCAAGTGCGGGGAATTTCGTGTTGTCGCATACGGTTGCGCTGTGAGATAAGTTAAATTCCTGATGAACCAAAAAAGAATACCTCACCTTACTTGAATGACCAGTAAAATTGCCTTCTAAGTCGGCTTCTTTGCACATATTTTTCAGTAATCGCTCAATCGTATGTATTCCGCCTTTCTGTTTGGAGTAAACTATCTCATTTTTCATACATAAGTATAACTGCAGTAGTTTGACATAGCATCGTTCGTTTTCAACTTGGGCATAATGCTTCACTTCTCTGGAATGATGTAAAAGTTACCTGGTTTAAATATTTATCGTTAGAAACATTAACATTAAACACTTGAATGTGAGCCATCTTGTCTCCTGATTTCGCATACAAAGCGACACATAAAGAAGTTCAAAACATCAGCCGAAATATCGGCTGTTAATGCAGGGACCAACAAATATCTCTCACTGGTAGCTGTACCGTGTTCCTGTATGAGACACGCCCCACTCGTCGTAAATTTTTGTACACCAATTAGTATTCTTCTTTGTGTATACTGGAATTCTGTCCTTTTGTAATTGACGAATATCGGTCTCTTTCACTGGACTGTTGAAGCGTTTTCCCTTTTGATTTCTTGTCAATTTGAAGTCCTCGTTTTATGGATTTTATGAGGCCCTATAATGGTGATTATATCAAATTTGCCATTATTTTGTTCCAAATTTATCTACACAAAAATAGATATTCAATTCTCAAAAAAGTATGTTGTATAAGCCAGTTCTACACACGGTTTCCCCGGAGCCTCACCCGAAAAAAGAGTAGGTGTATCAGCCCATTCACCTCGAAAACCATGTATATAACTACTACATATCTGTATTGAAGTGGACTTGACATATTGTCCTTTATGTTAGGTTATATACTGAAGATATCGTTGTCAAACCATTATAAGAGTTTTTGATTTTCTTACATCATCTCTATATTTAGTTTCACATGTGTTCAATATACATGTTTGGTAAGATGTAAGGTCACGTGATTATAGGCTCCCTGACGAGACAACATGGTTGGAGCACTGCTGTACTCTGGCCCTAATGTCCTGTCGAGAGGTGGGAACTCTGCATCAGTGATTAGAGTTAGAAAGGAAGGCCAAAAGATGAAGGTGAAAGTGCTTCCACTGTTCTTTCTTTTTGAGGTTCTTGGTGAACTCTGTGATGTCCTGTAGAGAATTGTGCATTTCGTGTGGAGTCAAGAGGTCACTAATGCTGGCTTGCTTACAATTGTACATATATTTTTTATTCATTGAACACCCGAATATTTCTCTGTGTGGCCAAACGTCTATTTAATGGGTAAATTTATGCGGCCATATAACTTTTTATCTCAAATTTACGAAACTATTGCTAGTGTTTTAATGCTGACATGATTATTATATATAGTGCTAGCTACACCGAATTGACAATGGCATTGATTCACATTAAGATATGTTACAGAAATAATTCTATGAGACAAAAACACAAATAAGAAATTTAATGATTCAGATTAAGCTATACAGAAAAGAAGGAGGTAAGACTTCATTCATTTCATTTTGTGGGAGGTGAAAAGGTGAGTCGACGGTTTATTTTAAGCCCTCTTTAATACCTGTCAATTATTTTAAACCGATGAATTGACAAAATATTGGATTCCTTTTTTTTTGCCAAGTTAAATAGAATATCTATTAACCCATCCTTGTCACCTATAATTTAAACGAGAATAACAAAACGTTTTTTTCTAATTATGAAAACCACATGATAGATGCTACAAATACATAAGAAGTTAAAATTTTAGACCAAATATTTCACTATATAAAAGAATATATTTATGCATTATTGTTATATATCGTTGGAAGGGGCTTCAATAGCACATTAAGAATGGACAAAAAAATCAAGTTCCTATAAGCTATTCAAAGATGCAAAATATTTTAATATCTATAAAAACCGGAGTTTAACCATTATAAACCAATATCAGCATATCTATAGATAGCAGAAGTCAAGTACATGCTAAACTGAAAATACTACTTAGCATAGATAATCTGTACGATTTTTCTGATTTACACCCGAAATGGAGCCACCCAAATTAATATTTACAAACCGGAAGTGATTTTAACTTTTTGAGGTCGCTGTTTTATTATTTGTATTAACATATAATTAATTTATAAAGTGCAATAGATAGATCTTGTTACAAAGAACAGAATAAAGAAAATCTGAATAATTTGCACATTATGCAATACATTACTTCTGGTTTCGCATAAAATGTTATGTTATAGTTTCAGTTAGAACTTCCCCCAAGTTTAGACAAGCGATCACATCAGTTTTTCCTACAAACGATTACCAGAATTAGAAAAAAATAGCAATAATCGATTCCATAACAAACCATGGCAAACCGATACAATAAATAAATCCAACTTTTCAATAAATATTGATTGTACCTTCCTCAATCAGTTGCAAGTTAACTTATTACATTGACACGTTTACAGCGGGTTTCTTATCATTTGTCTTGCATTTGACAGAGTCGACCGATTCTGAATATCGACGGGCGATGGTTATTTGTCTTCAGTAAATATAACCACAGGCAAATTCAAAGTATGAATATGACTTCATCAGGATTCCCAGTTGAATTTGCAACCAAAAAAGTAGTGGTATAAATTTTACATTTATATATATCAGACATTCGTTTGACAGTGAAAACATGACACTTCGACAAAGCATGACATCTCATGGCACATTCAGCGATTCCGCTTAGGTTGCGTGTTGCAAACGGTTCATTCGCTATTTCCGTCCCTTCCATTTTCACAAAATTTGACACTGATTCGTAGCTACCAAACACTTTAACCTACAATTAAAAATTAATAACATTTACATCAAAATTCTCATGTGATCCATATATTGATAGTAGTTAATTGTATGTATCTTAAAAGAGCTGTTTAGCCGAATAGACGACGACGCTTGCAGCAGCTAACATTCGATTAAATCTTTGGACGTTTACGTCAAGGCTTAAAGCTAATAATGACCCCGAGTCTTTGGCATATTGATGTGGATTAAATTTACTAATTAGAGATCACGATCTATGAGGATATCCAAAAAGCATTGCGAAAGTCTTGAAGGGTGGGCATGGCCTACCAGGCAAGATAAACCGACCACTATACACATTTAACCACAGTTCAGATTCCAATATATTCCAGCACTTTATCTAGCACAAAGCCTCTTGAATCAGGCGTTTACAAATTAAAATTGCGTCAAATCCTGTCTAATGCACGGGGCAACTCTTCATAGAGACTGAAAATAGGTTGCTAAAAGCCATCAGCAATAATCTTTCAAAGGCATATTAGAAGCACAGGTTATAGATAAATAAGACAATTTTATGGATAGATACTTCTAGCATATATTTATTACTTCTACGTTTCAATGTGGTTCTTCTAGAAGTATCTATCCATAAAATTGTCTTATTTATCCATCAGTACAATAAAATAATATTCAATTCGTTTTTCTCACCTCGCAAAACATCACGTGTTCATTATCCCCAGGTTGTCCATGGACAGTTATTCTTACGTAACGACCTTTAATGGTTTTCACACACAAATAGAGTTTCGTCTGAGACATTTCTGCTTGTTCCTCTTGATAATAGCACAGAATAGCATCGTCTATAGTCTTGTTTTCCCCATAGATATCAATTGTAAAGTTATGCGTTAAATATTTATATACGGGATCTAAAATAGTTTAAATTAGATTTAATGTTGTGCATAGTATTTGAGCGAGGGTTTTACAAAAATATTCGCCGACCAAAATATAATTTATAAATGAGATGACATTTTTATTTTTATTTTTATGTCCAACTTTTCTGTTAAGGCACAAACGACACCATGAAGTATGCAAATATGAATTTCTTTTTTTATTATATGTACTCAAATTAAATGCCAATATCAAATATACATGTAATAACAAGTAAAAGTAAGAAATTCATGAAACTATCAAAACTTCAGAAGAAAAGAATTTCAGACTAATTTTCAATCAATTTTGATGCGTTTTGCTGTTAATCATTCAAATCAAACCGAAAATCAGATAATGCCTGGCTGTGACTTCTGCTATTATAGCCTACAACAATTCAGTTGCATTAAAGTCATTAACATTTTGATAATTAAAAGCCTTACTATAATTGGACTGTGAAATGGCAACACCTTTGATGTAATAATCTTGTGCAAGGTCTACCTCCCACCATGGTTTGTGTTTTATTAAACCAACGCTATCGCTACAACTTCCATGACTTGGCACTGGACCATCGTTGCCGTCTACCGAATTTTGTGCAACATTTCTTCCAAATTTCTTACTCTGCGAAGCTGATTTGTTAAAAGCTAAGTTCCATACAGGTTCGCCTGAAATGTAAATGCTTTTGTAATTAATTTTCCAAAAAATGTACATTAAGGGGAAGTGAACTGAATGACATATAAAATCATGAAAAATTAAAGTTAGTTAAAATTTTAGATACCCTCATGTTAATTATTACTTTCCTGTTCATAATAAACCTATGCCATGTCTCTAGCCGGCGCAAATTTCCGATTTTTTGTCGATAGTGTACAGGTGTTTCCAATAATTTGTCGTGACGTAGCCAAAAGGTCATCCAATTGAAATCAATGTACGTGTCACTCGCTCACTTCCACATAGAGGCTTTAAATAACGAACTCGTTGTCTTCATCTTGTGTGGTAATATCGGATTCAAATAGCCTGTTTTCATTGGAATCCGCCTTCGATAGTCGAAAATATGACCTGTACCCACTTGGGCCCTTCAGACTCAGATCACGCCTTATTATTGTATGAACCTGGGCACCGTGTCTCAAGATCCATTGTCTAGCACATGTAGCCTACGTTTTGTGTAAAGCGAAATCTCCTATATAAAGTGGACGTCACATTCTTCACCGACTGTTTGAGGCACAAAAAAGGCCAGTAAGTGTGCGCTCATTGCACGTCTCGATAATTTGAAAATTCGTATGGTGTTAAGTCCAAAAATCGGTGGGTGTACGCCAACCTAGTATATTATACTATATTTTTACAAACTTAATGTATCATAGTGTATCTTCAGGACAACACTATGTTATAGACTATATGAACCTTTGATTTATCTGTATGTCCCCAAACTATAATATCTATAATGGCGACTTTTACCTACGACATGTACGCCAACATGGTCAATGACCGCGACAAGTTTAATATTTGATTATTTAAATTATGTCAGCAACATGTCAACACTTTGTATCATTGTGTTACCGACTCTCTCTTTGTGTAAGTTTAAATCTGGTCATCCGATTTAGCTGAATGTTTGTATGAATAAATGTTTGATCAGAGCAACTGGTTTTATCGTTAGTGTTACGTATCAAGAGCTACATCATCCCCACAAACTGAATCACTGGGTTCCTAAAATGAAGTATATGTTCGACCTGATTAGCTGCTTAGAGTTTATCGCAAAATAGTTTTTAGGTCGTTTCCTTGTCGTTTTTTCAGCTTTGTTCATGATCGTTTCACGTTTTCCTTGGTCATTTCCGTAATGTAAAAGCCATGTGGCATTCTGTCAATTTGAACTGAATTATAATAACAGAAAGTGAACTTAGACAGAAAGTTAATGGTGGTTGTCATGTTCAAGCAGGTAAGTAGGTAAATGTGTTCATTAATTTTAATGCATTAAATCAAATTGAATGAACAATGGGTTAAAGAGAATGTGCACCAAATGTTAAAAGCAACATAAAGAATAAACACTCAGAGAAACCAAAAACGATATATACATGATTTACAAAGAAATGTCTAGACTTTGTTTATAAAACATATAACATAATGATATTGATTTACTTATACAATAATTAAAAAAGACAAAAGCAAAGATGACTAGAAATGTGAACAGCTCTGAGAGTGGCCTACCATTAGTAAATTAGAGATTAAAACTTTCGGGTATCTGGTAAATAAATCAACTATCTAATTACACTTCAGAAATGTCACCTCTAAATTCTAAAAAAGTTACCTTTTTAGATGAAATAGACTTGAACAATGTGACTTTGTCATATTTATACCATCTCATTACGATTGTTTTCCATTCGAGTGAAGAGATATATAATTATGTTATTATTTATTACGGACCCCAATATCGTCTGTGTCCGTTTGGCCTAACGTCTATTTTAAGGTTAACTTTAAGTGGCCTAATATCTTTGTATTAGACTAACATCCTCCCCAATTATGAAACTATTGCTATATTTTAATACTGGCGTTATTATTATAGCCCTGTATTAGCGACACCAAATTCATTATGGCATAGATACACCATAGGGAAATGTTAAATAAAAAATTTTATGTGATTAAAAACAGCCTTCCATTTGTGAGCACTAATACTCTTAAATCTGGATAAAGTGGGAAAAGCCTTGAATTATTATCGCAATAAAACATAAAACCAATATTGGCAATTTAAGTTTATAACCTTGTATTAAAAATATTATTTATCCGTTTGTTCTCAATCTGATTAGGGCTAATTCCCAATTGAGCTAACGTTTTCCCGTTAGGGCCACTGGCTCAAACTACCTCTCATTGGGTTTATTTTATTTTCCGTTTGGGCTACTGATTGGGAAAAACAAAACGAAATACAGATGCTTATTAATATATTCCATGACTCTTTATCCATGGTAGTATATAGCGAATAAAGAACCCTATGAGAGGCAGTTTGAGCAAGTAGAACGGTGACATTCACCAATATGATTTAAGGCGAAACAGAACAGAAACATTGTTGTTGGTGTGATTGAGATCGTTGCAGGTTATGCATCTGTCTGCTTTGCATAAATTAGGTTGTCTCCCCTTGATTCTAGTTTGATTTTCTGTAGTGATGGTTCTGGAGTTGTTAGAAAACTGCCTTGGTAGCAATGTCAGTTGGCTTTGTTTTTCTGCTCAAAGTGGATGTCAAGAGAAGACAACCCATCAAAAATGTATGTGCTTCCTTTTAGGTCAAGAAGCCATGTTGCTCATCCGGATTAAATTCATAGTTATCGTATATATTTTCAATTTGTCTTTCAACTATATGACTAATAGAGTGAATACACTCATTTTGGTGAACAATTATCAGATCACGACGGAAATCAATAGGAATCATCTCCATAATGACATTCACCCACAAACTATAATGCAATAAAATCCATACAGAATTATTGCCTGTAGATTGAGTCAGATGTGAACAGACGGACCGATGGGCCGCCGAGGCGATTACAATATACAACCACATTATAATAATAAATTGGGAACGCAATGTGGTCGCATATGTCACAGGTTAAGGTCTGACTATTTTCCTGTAAATAGATTATACTTACAGTGGTGGTCTTTCATCATACTCAGAAATATTAGGATGAATAAATTAATTCTCGCCAATTTCATCGTGAAAATGTTTTGCTGGTTACTGTTTATGAACAAACTTCCATCAAATTGAACTATATTTTATTCCGATTTTGTGGCATCTTACTCTACAGTCGAACTTTCACAGATGCTGATTGTCAGGAACATGTGAAAACAAAGTATTTATATGAGTGTTGTATTCAGAGTTAATAATCTCATCTATATGTCTACATCAAGATTTAAAATTTCACTTTTATTTTAATGATCTTAAAATTATTAAGTATCGATTTGCCACAGGCTTTTCCAAACAGACTGTGTCGTATTAGGATTATTTCGTTTTAAATACCAGGAATATCAAACTTTATATACATTGAGATTTCTTGTTGAAGGGATTCGATCATTTCAATTTAGAATGATTCACATTTCATATAGTAATTTTTGGATGTGATATTATGCTTGTTGATTTTTTGTTGATGCGATATTAATGACATCTTTCAATCTGAACTGCATGGTGTTACGGACGAAACTTACAGATGACATCTATCGAGTCATTAGATGAAAAGTAGAGGTATTCCTCTACCTATCCTGCTATAAGTGTGTTTGTTCTATTCCGGACACTGTCACTGGCTTTGAAACGCTATAAAAGGGCACCTTTCCACAGGGCAAGGGGTTTCTCCATTCATTATTCCCTGGGTAAATTTGGTTTGTAAAAAGTAGTTATATATTTTTCTCCAGTATAAGCATCAATATTATGTTGTCTTGTTTCAACTCCTAATTGAGGCAACCAGCTGTAAAACTGGCAACATTTAAACGTGTAACAAATATGGTCAATCCAATGAAAACTTGAAATTCGAACTAGTTGACCGTATACCTTTGAAAATGAATTTAAGAAGACTGGCGATTCACAACACACTTAAAACAATTGAAATATTTTAATAGAATAAAACATACAGACCACTTGAATTTTTTTTAATGTTAAATTTCGTCAAAGACGATGTCTGATGTCCATATTTCCTAATCCTGAATTGCTTGTTCAACCCAAAACTTCTTCATTAGACCACATTGTTAAACCAGACTATTAAAAAAACTAGATGAAATGACATTGTTTTCCCGAAAGACTGAAAAGGGCAGTCTAAATATTTTATGAAATAAGATAGTTTTTTTTCAGAGTGAATATTTTGTATTTTTTGATGGGTCCATAATAGAATTAATCAAATTTAAACATGGCGGTCCCTTTAGAATTAGATGAAAAGTCGTTTCCCCTTTTTGTGTTCTCAAATTGTTCGTTTCCATTGTAATCTAAAAATTCTGTTATTAGAATGCTACTGTAATTAAATTAAAGCTTACATTAAAGAGAAAAGGTGACTCAAAGTATACCAGTTAATATAATATCTATTGAAGGAATTAATGTGGATCATGTGACATAACCGAATTTCCTTACATTTACATTGATCTTCCGTTGTACAAAATAAAGGAAACCAGAATCCAATACACCGAAAGTTGACAATCAATTGCGTCGTCTACAACATAAAGGGAGCGTGTCATACATGTTTAAGTGATTATCAGGCCGCAATAATATCAGTGGTTAATGGATATATTATATTGAGAAACAATTCTAGACTGTAATTATGTCTGTACAATTTTTAACCAGATTTATACCAAGGTCGCGTTTAGCCCAAAGTATCTGCCTCTGATAGATATTTTGGCAGTTTTCGGCTCGAGTATTGAGCAACAATAGGCCGTTTTATGGCACATTAAATTACCTTTACTATGACTGCAGATTAGTATTGGGCATCACCTTTTGACTGCGCACGCAGTTTTGAATGGCCGGCGATAAATCAGTTTCGTTAAAAAAAACTTTGATGGAACCGCAAACGTGACATAAATGATGTTAGCTGTCATTACACAAGTGTTTCTTTAACTGCTAAGTTAAAACAGGAATGTACTTGAGTGCATCAGCTGGTCCTATATGTCACAAATATCTTGTCACTAGTCTTAAAGTATTCTAATGAATAATGGGTGTTTTTCGCAATAGTTTCTCTTGCCATACACAATGTTGAATTGTAGTACGTAATGGTTTTTGTTTACAATTTTGTATTGTAGTACGTAATGGTTTTTCATTTGGCTTTCAGCCTGTGTAAGGAATCATAGATGTGAATGTGTATGGTCATCTTATGGTGCACAGATGGTTAATGGTTAATATGGCATATGACGCGACCGAATCCAACATCACGGTTCAATTTAGATTAAAGAATTATATTAGCAATTGTTCTCAAAGAATGAAGGGCGATTCCTGGTCTATCTTCCATCGTCTACAGCGAAATCCCGATATCATTTAGGACTGAGCTAAACATGATACCTGCCCTGTGTCCTGTAATGTCTGTGAGTTCCACTATATGTCGTTATCACGTGTGCACCTGGTTTTCCAGGGTCAATGTTATGTGAAACTAATACTTGTATGTTTGTAATTAAAATTCAGAAATAGAAGACAGGCATGACAAAATTCCCTGAAATGGGGTGAACCACATAGTCTTGCATTCTTGTTTTTTGAGTCAATGGAACAAAATTATATTGGGGACAGAAATTAAAAAAAAATAAAGGGACACCCAGGTGACCACCAATATAATCTCACATAACACTAGGTTTTTATTTTGCCTCTCTATTCTATGTGTTTTATTGATCTATAGGTCAGGCAGAGTTTGCTCACTATTTTGGGCGCCAGGTTCTATGTCTAATTATAAAATACTCCCATTTGAGATGGATAACTTCCTCAGATTTTTTATTTCCTTGGTTTAGTCAGTATTGTTATCAGTTCCTTTGCTTGAACTGTTAACGTTATATAGGACTCATATTTGGGATAGATTTGGTAGTTAATGTCCGACATTGCTTTCTCTTTCAGATTCTTTAAAATAATAAGAGATTTCTGACCACTCGGTTGTACTCGTGGACACTCGCGGTTCTAGTCAAAAATAAGGTTAATTTGCAGCCGCAAATATGTCAAATTTTGTTTTAATAACATCAGAAATTTGTAATAAGAAATATATTTGTGATATTTATAGTAAAGTTAATAAATAGTATTGTGTAATAATATTTCTTTGTTCAATAACTTGTCCATTTCTACGCACTTCAATAACATTTTCGAATACTTCGTCTATCTGGAGACTTTCAAACTTCCAGCATTCGTCTGGCCCTCGTAAGTCGGTAGTTGTAGATGCGCTGGTGTCTATTCATGAAACTGTGGGGGAATGGTTTCATCAAGCAATCCTTTGGCGACAATCTTGTTGGGCGTGTCTGTCATCATTGGGCATAGGTGAAGGACCTGGAAGACCAAAGTTTTCGCCCTCTACTGCGATACGCAATCTGCACTCTCTGAAAACATCTGAAAAAGTACACAATTGAACACTCATGAATAAAATGGGGAAAAGGAATTGATTTTAATTTAAAATTGAAATTTGAGTTTAATTCTGTAACAACCCAGTGCAAATCAACATCTATTAATACATACATACTTGTTTATAAAATTCATTTTTATTAAGTTAAGTTATAGCATACCCTCCATAAGCACATATATGAACTTGTAGTCTGCATCTACGAGGGCCATAAGAATTATGGCGTGGAACCCTTTGTAGTTGAAGAATTAAGACTCTCCACCGACAGGTTTCCGAAGAGCAATGTGCTTTCCAGCCAATACTCCAATGATGTTGTGAAAATTGTATAAACCCTCAATTATTTGCCTCCATCCTTTAGGAGTGAATGGTAGGACAGGTCATCACTTCACTAATATATTCCTTCACGATTGCTTCTCACACCTTGATGATAATCCTAAAGATAGAATTGTTAGAAACTCACGTCTTAGTCTCCGGTTACCAGGTATCTAAAGAATGTATCTTTCCCTGAAATACTGGGCCTTACTCTTCCAAGGATTTCATGAAACATGTCTGGAGGGACTCTTTGGAAGTTTCGGTACCCATCCATGTCTTAAGCAGCTAGTTCGGCCATGAGACATTCGCACTGTCCGTATTGTGGTCGTCGCACCTCCAGCAAGCAGAGAAGCTGCAAGTCCGCCATGCTGCTCATGGACGCCAGAAATTCCCGCCAAAATGTTAACATTACTTGCCCTCCTAATAAACGGGATCAGCTCAGACAGTACTAGTGTAACTAGTGATTTTGGCAATTTCACAATTCTGTATACAAGGGTAGTATTTTAATGAGAATGGATGATATTATAACTGTGTATAGTTTTATCTCACTGCAAATCATGCTTATTTTATAAAAATCTCCAAATATATAATATAATATACTCCTAATTTACTCGTAATGCTCTCTGACTACTTGTTATAAACTCGGTAAAACCCTATTTTTGTGGCAAACTCGCCTTTTCCCCTCGGAATGTACTCGGCTCGCAACTCCTAAAGGTGAGAGAGGGGATTTTTAGTATAACGAATAAGGAGCCTAAGTCACTGAAATATGCCTTGTCTGAATCCAGTTTTGTAATAAAAAGGTTTTATTTTCCATTTATTATTTATCATCGTTGACTTGCGAACACACAAAGCCACGATATCAAAAGTAGATTTCTGTTGAAGTCATGCATACCAAACAGAAATACGTTAAAAAATCAGACACTGAATGATGTCTCACGGGTATTTGCATTGATAGATCTACCTTAGTCGATGAATCGTTGTTGACTAGATAATGAATCACATTTATGATTCAGAATTATTCTGCACTATACTAAACCATACCAATGCTTAAATAGTAAGTTCTGGGCAAACCATAAATATTCTTCTTAAAAGTAAAAATCCATATTGAATATCAATAATGATTCGGTCGGTTTGGTTATTTGCAGCTCAGTTTCTCAAGAATTTTATCGTCAGTGTTTAAACGTGATTCGATCAAATAAAATAAAACAACACAACTTTACATTATAACATATAAACGGATTTAAAACGGACAGAAAAGTTATTCATGTCTATATCAGTTTATCAACAGATGTGATATTACCCGTCGAACTTTGGGACGTTTCTTTTGAGACACACGATATA